TGGCGTCACCTCTCACATATTTACGTCTAATTTCGTTATGAAATTAGATTATTTCAGAGTAAAAATAGGTTTGATCATGTTCTATGTGTAGCACCAACATTATAGTAAGTAAATATACCATATTTCTTCATTACTTACGTAATGCTAGGACGATTTGGGTAGTTTTGGGCTGATTTGGGTCGATTTGGGTAATTCTATGGACCGAGTGGCGCTGCCCAATACTGTCACTATGGCGGTGTGTCCACTCACAGGATGAGTGGCGCTGCCCAATACTGTCACTATGGCGGTGTGTCCACTCACAGGATGAGTGACGCTGCCCAATACTGTCACTATGGCGGTGTGTCCACTCACAGGATGAGTGGCGCTGCCCAATACTGTCACTATGGCGGTGTGTCCACTCACAAGATGAGTGGCGCTGCCCAATACTGTCACTATGGCGGTGTGTCCACTCACAGGATGAGTGGCGCTGCCCAATACTGTCACTATGGCGGTGTGTCCACTCACAGGATGAGTGACGCTGCCCAATACTGTCACTATGGCGGTGTGTTCACTCACAGGATGAGTGGTGCTGCCCAATACTGTCACTATGGCGGTGTGTCCACTCACAGGATGAGTGGCGCTGCCCAATACTGTCACTATGGCGGTGTGTCCACTCACAGGATGAGTGACGCTGCCCAATACTGTCACTATGGCGGTGTGTTCACTCACAGGATGAGTGGTGCTGCCCAATACTGTCACTATGGCGGTGTGTTCACTCACAGGATGAGTGGCGCTGCCCAATACTGTCACTATGGCGGTGTGTCCACTCACAGGATGAGTGACGCTGCCCAATACTGTCACTATGGCGGTGTGTCCACTCACAGGATGAGTGGCGCTGCCCAATACTGTCACTATGGCGGTGTGTCCACTCACAAGATGAGTGGCGCTGCCCAATAAACTCGCCCCTCGGGGCAAAATTAAAAAAAAAAAATTAATGCCACATGAAAGACTAGCAAGGAAATTACTGGCACCTGGAATAAACGGTAGAATACTAGAATGGATAAGACGAGGATTAAACACAAAACTATGGGTCGTACTAAATGGGAAGCAATGTGACTGCAGAACTGTGGTGAGTAGGGGAATACGTCAAGGGTCCATTTTGGGGCCAACCCTTTGTCATATACATCAGTGAGGTAGATGAGAATATTACCAACCACATCATTATATTTGCAGATTACACTAACATCTATGGTAAAGTGGAAAGGTAAAATTAAATTGAAGCCTTACAAAGCTATGTACATAAACTCCACAAATGGTCAGAAGACTGGCAAATGCTTTCTGTATCGATAAATGCAAAACCTGACATGTGGGGCATAACAGTCCACATTACAACTACCAAATGAAAAAAAATAGCTTGCAGCAGATTGATGAAGAAAAGGACCTTGGAGTCAAAATCCATCATTCACTGAAAGTTGCACAAGAAGTGGGAGCAGCATAAAAAAAAGCTAACCAAACCCTAAGAATAATAAAGTTTACTTTTGACTTTCAGAAAAAAGAAGGTAGTCATTCAATTGTATAAATCTCGGGTGCCCCCTAACCTGGATTATTGCATCCAAGCATGGAGATCTTATCTTCAGAAAGACTTTGCTTCATTGGAGAAAGTCCAACACTGGACAACAAAAATAATTCTAGAACTAAATCAACTCTAATACCAGGACAGGTTGAGGGCCACAGGGCTAACAACACTGCAAACCAGACATGACAAAGCTGATCTCGTCGAACGTTCAAAATACTGAATAACTTGGAGGATGCTGATTCGGACAACTTCTTCAAAAGGTCAGATGTAACACAAGCAAGGAGCAAAGGTTTCAAGCTCAACAAGCCACAGTGTAGGACTGAAAACAGGAGATGGTTTTCACCTACAGGGTTAGAAACCCATAGAACCGCCTACCCACCAAATCCGTAAATGCCAAAACTTTGCTGAGCTTTAAAATCTAGCTTGAAAAAATCATCAGGACAAATGGGGGGGGGGACCATTGACAAGTCACTAGCTTCCTGTCCTCGTCGAGGCCACTAGGGTGTTAGTGGTCTTAAGGTAAATTTGCCTGACCATTTCTGGAGTTCATGTAGATCTCTTTGTAAAACTTTAATATCATTTTCCCTTCCCACTTTACCATGAATCTCAAATGACCTCTACAAATTTGATGATGTGGCTTGCAATATTCCCATCTATATTGATGTACATAAAAAGGGTTGGCCTGAGGGCTACCATCTGTAGAACAAGGGAATTTACCTGAGGGCTTCCATCCCTCAGGGCTGAGGGTAAAAAGGGAATTTACTTGAGAGCTACCATCTCCAGAGGCCTTGATGGGGACCAGAAGGTGGCAGTTCGTTGAAGGTCCCCCTGTTATTTCTGGCTCAAGATTCTACATGCATAGAGATCATCAACTTTTGACTCTTGTATTTGGGAATGATTCTACATATTACTGTTCTATCAAAGAAAGTCAATTCTTCAAAGTATCAACTTGAGACTTCTGAATGAAAACTTTACCTTACTCAGGCATGTGAGTGTAGACAAACTCTTGAAACCAGCCACATGTAAACTAAAGGATTAATACACTGTACCTTCTGCAAGGTATTTGACATAAATGACCATGATAGCACAGTCAGCTGAGTAGTAAACTTTATTGTAAATAAAACAAGGAATCATTTGTTAGCTATATTTCATTACTCATTTTACAGAATCTACCTTTTTAAAGCTTTCTTTAGACCAGGCTGGACAAATCTGGCTCTTCTACCATACCCTCAGCATTACTGGATCTCATGACACAATGCTTTGATTCAGAAATGACAACACTTGGCCCTGGTCTTCCTGTCACACGTTTGACTCGCTAATACCGCACGTGTTTGAACTTCACTGAACTACGAAGAAGTCTCTGTGAAATGGTCCATTTCAGTTTCTTTTGCTTCACACATCGAAACGTTAACTACATTAATTTTTAACTTTCTTTGCACTGTAAAATACAAGTCAACAATAGCTGCCCCATTCGACTTGATGTGTGAATTAGCTACAGTTGAAACCATCTTCACTGTGGGAATTATCATTAATTTTTCCTTTGTTTTGAGGCACTTCCTAGTATTGCATAAAGAGTTGAACAAGGACATTAACCCAGGCTATTGGTGGAACTTGCATAGTGTGTGTGTGTGTGTGTGTGTGTGTGTGTGTAAATCTGAATGTGTTATAATAAACCACACCCATATCTATTGCAAAAGTTGCTAACTAATAATAAACATCCTGCCACAAATTTTAAAGTGTTTATGTCGGGACATTAAGAAACGGGCTGAATGAAGGCATAATTCAACTGGGATTTTCTTATAAATGTAGACTGTTTTATTTTGTAATAAATTACACAATAAAAGTTTTCACATTACTTAAATGACACCACATAAAGTAATTAAAGTTGGCACAGTTTTGAATATGTAGTAGTGCACGGCTGTCATCTAACCTCTGTGTCGGAACAACATAGCACCAGACTTTTGCATCGTTTGTAGTCAAGTGTGAATTTATTATATTGTACTGTGTGAAATATATTATATTTATATAAATACTAGCTGTACCCGGCCACGCGTTGCTGTGGCTCGGCAACACGTGCGTTGCTGAGCCACAGCAACCTTTCCCTGTCTCCCAGTCCTCCCCCACCATTTTCCCCACATCCCCCCAACCATTCCTCACTCCCCATCCCCTCATCCTCCCAACCCTTCCCCACTCCCCAGTCCCCTCGTCCTCCCCACCATTCCCCCCTCTCCCCCATCCCATTGTCCTCCCCACCATCCCCCATTCCCGCATCCTCCCTACCATCCACCCCTCCCTCGTCCCCCCCCTCCCTTGTCCCCCCCCACCATCCTCTACTCCATCATCCCCTCTTTCTCCTAACTATTCCAAACTCCACTGTACCCTCATACTCCCTACCATTCCCCCCCCACTCCGGTCCCCTCGTCCTCCACACCATTCCCTACTCCCTCGTCCAATGCATTCCCAAATGATCTGATGTTCCCATCACTGAAATATAAGAGTTAAAAAACAAAATGAAAAACGATGAAAAATAAAAAAATTTAACTATACTCACGAAATGAACAGTATGGTAAACAACAGAGCTCAGTTCCAATGCAATAACACGCAAAATAAAATAATTCAATCAAAATTAAAATAAATTGAAATCTATGAAAATTCAATTTATCAATGAAATCAGAAACATTAAATGGAATCGTAACATATTTAGTATAGCGTGTTTTGCTCCTATGTGCAACAGATGGCACTGAAAAAAAAATGTTTTTACCTGTCACAGGTGTGGTATCTATATAGTGGGTATATAAAAATGAAATAAAAATATTCAAATGAAATGTCAAAATTTCAAAGCAATCGGTGAAGAAATTTTGGAGATTACAGGGTGTATTGCTCTTATGTCCAACAGATGGCGCTGTTTTTTAAAAGCATGGTTTTTTTTCCCGGTGACATCTATATAGTATGTTTATAAAAACCCGCTCGAATGTGATTGGAACGTTGTGTGAAAATTTCAAAGCAATCGATGAAGAACTTTCGAAGATTAGCGATTTTGAACAAACTAACATTTACATTTTTATTTATATAGATATAAATATATATATATGTATATAAATATAAATGTATATACAGTACACATACGGTATATTAATGTTTATCTGGATGGCATTTAATATTCTACAGCAATTGTAATAAATGTAAAAAAAATTTAAGATAAGCTTGGTCCTTCTGAGCTAAAGCTTATGAAGTATTTAAATAATTGTCAATTTATTTCCAGCCTTACTGTAAAAGGAACTGAACCTTTCATACATTCCACCTGCTGATGCTTAGTGTACTGTCATTCCACCTGCTGATGCTTACAGTGTACTGTCATTCCACCTGCTGATGCTTAGTGTACTGTCATTCCACCTGCTGATGCTTACAGTGTACTGTCATTCCACCTGCTGATGCTTACAGTGTACTGTCATTCCACCTGCTGATGCTTAGTGTACTGTCATTCCACCTGCTGATGCTTACAGTGTACTGTCATTCCACCTGCTGATGCTTACAGTGTACTGTCATTCCACCTGCTGATGCTTAGTGTACTGTCATTCCACCTGCTGATGCTTAGTGTACTGTCATTCCACCTGCTGATGCTTAGTGTACTGTCATTCCACCTGCTGATGCTTAGTGTACTGTCATTCCACCTGCTGATGCTTACAGTGTACTGTCATTCCACCTGCTGATGCTTACAGTGTACTGTCATTCCACCTGCTGATGCTTACAGTGTACTGTCATTCCAACTGCTGATGCTTACAGTGTACTGTCATTCCAACTGCTGACGTTTACAGTGTACAGTACTATCATTCCACCTGCTAACACTTTCAGTGGACTATCAAGTGAGAACAATTTTGTTCTGGCTTTGTTAATAATAAATTAACTAAGAAGAACTTAAATAAGCAATTAATTACAAATATTCTCACCGCATAATGGATTTGTATGAATGCTAACAATCATAGTGTGTTGGTTTCTCTCTTTTCCAACGTATTAAACAAATTCTTGTTTAGCTGACGAAATCATCTCAGTAATGATGCACTGGAAGTACAATACAAGTTGATGACTGAAACTGACTTACGAGCACAGGTGAAATCTGCGTCCCGAGTTAAAATGATAAACACAACTGTAAGATGCGCCAATGATTTTATAATTATTCATTGATACCAAACTGCAAGACATGGAGTTCTTAAAGACTTATTTCCTTTCCCCTGATACTTTGAATACCATTTGTTTATTCCCAAAACCTATAATGAATGGTATATACTGTATATGTTTTGACTTGTTTCACCTATACTCCAGTGGAAATTTACCTAATGACTCAATGGTTTTTATTTGGTTATCAATGCATATGTATTGTTTTCTACAGAGTTCCACCATGTACAATACTTTTTTACTTTAAAATAATTCTTATGTCTTCTTTTTATACAACAGAAATTTGTACAGCCGCGAGATAAAATTTGTAAATCCGTTGACTAATTTCCAGGCTGCCTACTCGTACCGGTAGTTGCTAAGTGATAACGTTTGGAAAGGAATAATGCGAGCGTGTATCAGTAAGATGTAACTGTTAAACATCAAGGCAGCCAGATTACTTCTTAAAGTACCGCTAAGTGCTCACATGCCCTAATAAGAGGGTCTTATATTCACAGAGTATAGTAAAGTTTGAGGGTATAGTAACTTGTGTCTAACTTAAACTGGGTATAATTATTACAATTAGAATATTCTTTACAAACTCATCTTTTAACTTTTTAACACCATAACTTACTTATACAATACTTCACTCTTACAGAACATACTTATTTAGCAAATATTTAACTAAAGCCAACAGGTTATTTCTATCAAAACTGGACAATGCAGTAACAAATGACTTCCACTTTAGATATAATGCATTGTATTGTCACAATACAAGTCTGTCAATGTCAGGCATTGACTTATCTACACAACAAAAGACTCTACCCATTGAAAGGCCAGGAAACTTGCTTGAGAATATCCTTTTTTTGTTTTAAGTTATAAATGATGGATACAACAAGCAAGACTCCATACGCTGGGTAGATTACTGAACATGAAACAGTTGGTGGCTTCAGTCTCCTCTGTAGTGCAAAGTGATGTTTTTTCGGATATCAAAATGACCGTTGTGTTCTATGGTAGCAGCCACTGTTTATTAGCATTTCCTAGAATTAAATATCCATCAATTTACAGTTCTGAGAACAGGTATTTGGCCAATTATAGCATGTCTTTACACAAATTTTATTATTTTACAAGATTTAGACAGAGGTACAGCCCACCAAACAGCCCCTCCTCTGTGGGCTAGTCTATAGTATTACCTAAAATCAACAGTAGAGGGAGAAACAGACCCACAAACAAGGATAACAGAGGAAATACATGTTACATCTTGACTTAACTAAAGAAAATAAACCTGTACATCATAATTCTTTCTATATACAGTCAACGTGGCCGCACACCTCAGGCGACTAACTTAATTAAGTTCACAAGCGATAACAAGAACAAAATATTGCTTCAGGCTAACTTTTACATTTCCTTCATATTACAAGGAAGACGAGCTCTGCATTTGTAAAGTGACATTCTAATAGAGGTGACTGTAGCTTGTGATAGGTTTTATTTCCATTTGTGCTGTAGGAACAGTGCATCTCACAGGGGGTGAAAAGAAACTTACCACAATACAGTTTAACCTCAAAATGGAGAATCACTCGACAGATTTGGCGGACGGGCAGCACTATTGAGTAACTTCCTCCTAGCATCTCACAACAGCCGACAGCAAATATAGCCAACATTCATTGCATTTCAAACTCTGAGCTTTGTTATAGGTGAATATGTTGAAATTTCACATCAAATTGTATGACACTCCTTCAGCTCCCAGAGTTTGATACTAGAGAATGAGGCTAAGACTAGCAATTTACTTATAACATACAGGTATCATACTTGGTGAATTTCAACCAAAGACATTTTAATTATTGATATCAACCAATATATTTATATATTGCCAGCTGTATAGAGCAAACAAGAGAAAAGTATCAGGTGTGCTACAGTAGCTAGAACCTTTCATGTTGCATAGCTAGGTACGTACTGTAGTAGGTACAAATTAGTACGCAAAACATTTGCATGTCTACATTACAAATGGATCTATAAATACTATAAAAAATGTTTTTTTCCAAAGGAGGCAACTTGCATCCCACTGTGAAGCTTTATGTACAGTGCTGTTGAGCGGTATTGTTAACTATTTAGTCATTTTTCCCTAACTTATAACCACAGGAACACAGACACTATCAAACCTTCCCTTTATTGTCATCAACATCAACATCAACAATGAAACGCTTTATCACTTGCTTATTATTGCTGTCCATCTCTCTGATTTGCTTATTGTGACTATTTTGATTTGTAAAATAATAACTATTGTGAGAAATAATTACGTTTTTGTACCAGTCACCATACGTCACACATTGGCTAGGCCAGCACACCACGCAGAACCTTGTCTAGCAATGTTACTCTACACTCGTAAAAAGAAATTCTGGATAAAATAGTCATACTCATGTCCTCTGCTTTACACAAACTTCATGTTTTCCAGAGTCCTTGTTCTGCCAGCAGCCACTAATTCATTGAGACCAGTGTAAAATATCTTCAGTTTCGTTGTAAAATTGCATAGAAAACTACTTCAAAACATCTCTCTTAATTTCATTATGGAGAATGAGATTCCTTGAACTCTTAGACTACATCAAATGTCATAATTACATGCACAATATATATATATTATAATGAGTATTCATTATACCATAAAGGACTCCATTTAGAATGAGTTGAACTCAACATGTGCAACTCATTACATGCATGTAGCAAAATGTGTCCATTATGGAGAAGTAATGTGCATCTATACAGACTTGTCTCACAGAGTGAAACTGTGAGGCAATGTAATATATATTATGATGTTAAGCTTTGGCAGGGAAACCACAACCTCCAGAGTGTTGTCAGGGGCAGCTTTGTCAGAAGGCGACAACAAACATGCAGAAAGATAACGTAATATATAACTAATGAAAATGGGAAGTCAACAAATAAAATAAATTTTAAATTATTAAAGGGAAAATAATATACAATATAAAACAATAGGCATCTATAAACAAGAGAATAAAATACAATATATTACTCTTCCTCATAATTCTAAGATATTTCTACTCACAGACCATACTGAGCTTCGACGGTGAAGAGAGTAACAATGTGCACAACACGCCCATCCAAATCATTACCAAACAGAGTTGGTATGAAACCAGTAAATATTGCACCACAGTTCTCATTATTAAGGATTGGCACAGAGATCCAGAAGTGGAAGAGATCATTGCCCACACTTAAGAGTTCTCACAGCAGAACGAACACAACACGACAGATTAATAGTCTCATGTCTGTATTGCTATAGTTGCTTAACTACAATAATTGTAACAATTTCTGTACAATTTATGCTTATGTTTCTTTGAAGAGGTAGCTTATTGCTGGTTGTAGCCAAACACTGGCTATCAAAATTATCCAAATAACAAGCAGAAATATCATAAAATATATATATGCATTTTCATATTGTTGGGCCAAACATGATAAGGTCTGCAAATATGATTATATATGCTTTTAACCTCATTGAAGGCAAATGCTAATTATATACAAAGTATTGAACAATATTGACCACACATGGCTAACCTGTATATTAACCATCTCGTAATTCAAAAACATTGACACTGATCTGTACAAATACATTAGTATTTAACTGTCCATTCCAGTCAGCTTTGTAATTTGTATATTATATAAAATAGAATAACAGTATAAAAATTCTATAGCAGCAGCAAAATACTAATCTTAATGCAATTTTTTTTCCATTTAGAAGTTAAGGAAATAAATACACAAATGCCCTCATTTGGAATTTCATCCGAGATGGAAGGTGTACTGTCTAGGAGGTAATTACTATAAACCAACCTCTCTGATGTTCTCATTAGTTTTGCTTCTTGCCTCAATATGGGAGTGCAGTTAGTATTTCCTTATACTCTTAAGGAACAAGAGACCTGCTCAGTCCAAAGACGAGGCTTGGCAACGTAGGCACGAGTGTGTACAGACAGCTCGACAAGCTTGTCAAGGCCCGGGACCTCCCATGTGGCGAGGGGGAGCGGCCATGTTATACACCATTGTCAGAATGTCAATATTTTTTCCATATGCATTTTTACATCAATCTTTGTACAGTACACCAAAATATGAATTATGCAGTAACTAAAATATTTGTGCATGTCAACTTTGATTTCAACTGCACTGACATTTATATCTTGCGCCATAAGGATTTTATACTTGAACACAGCAATCAAATTGTGCTATATATGGTTATCTGGGCCACATGAGGTTCATTATTTAATATACTGTACTTCAACAAGTGTTAAAAGCAGTAATGTGTACATTTACCTAATGTCAAATTGTGAATGCAGAGCCATCATAATATGATGGTGCTGATAATATTTTATTTAAACAAATTACAGAGGATCTGATTACAGTGATTTCATAATAGATATTTGTATTTTTTTATAAAGCCACTAATCACGTGCAGCATTTCTAACATCGGTACAAAAGTACTGCAATAAATAATAAATTTACACGTACAGTACTTAAACAAGCGCAATTATCACAAAATTTAATATCATAACTGGCGTGACTAATAGAGATAACAAATAATAATTATATTAATACATGCCTTAACACCATTCAAAATACCAATTAGCAGAAAGACTGAAGGTAACAAGGGCCTAAAAGCCATGTTACGCAAGACTGAAGGTAACAAGGGCCTAAAAGCCATGTTACGCAAAACTGAAGGTAACAAGGGCCTAAAAGCCATGTTACGCAAGACTGAAGGTAACAAGGGCCTAAAAGCCATGTTACACAAGACTGAAGGTAACAAGGGCCTAAAAGCCATGTTACGCAAAACTGAAGGTAACAAGGGCCTAAAAGCCATGTTACGCAAGACTGAAGGTAACAAGGGCCTAAAAGCCATGTTACACAAGACTGAAGGTAACAAGGGCCTAAAAGCCATGTTACACAAGACTGAAGGTAACAAGGGCCTAAAAGCCATGTTACACAGGATCTACGTAATATTACTGAATACTTGCTAGTGGCAATTAGTCCTAGTAAAGGAAGACATTTATAATAAACAAAAATCGATCTTCTTTCCCCTTTGCATAGTGATGAAGAATGGGACGGTGTGGTGTATTGGTACACAATTGGCCGTGATCATGTTTGGTCTAATAATATGTCAGGACTTATCGGAAGAAACTTCAGCAACTATAGTTCTCCATTTGCATGAAGAATATCTTAACCACCATCTAATAACTATGATCTTTTATATTCCTTAAATAGTAAGTTCATTTGAGACATGGATGGGTACAATAGCTAAATCATACATTATTATTTAGGCTCTCTAAATATATTAGTATACAAAATTACTCTTATTTAGCAGATGTTATAATATAATGCACCATACCACCATAACCTGAATCAAAGCCTTCATCTTGAAGGTATTAAATATTATGCAATAAATTAGACACTGGGCAAGTATTTATACTGTATCTAAGGCTCACAAAAGACTCATCTTACATGGCAAAGTGGCCAGCAATAAGAAAACTTTTAAGATGATTTCAATGAGCCTGCTATAATTTATTTTTTATTTATTTTATTATTTTTTTGCAAAACCTTATTGACGAATCATCTACATTCATAACTGCTGTCCACATCACAATTATTTAAGGTATTAAATTTGCAACTTTGAAGTCTCAAGTTCATTTTGGTAGTGTGGATGCCCAGACGACTGAGGCTGCTTAGGTGAGAATTATCAAATTGTTATTTTGAACATTCTATGGATGAAATGATTACTATGAAAGACTTTTTATTATTTGCATAATCAAAAAGTGTGATTATTGAAATAACATGTTTCTTCAATAATTACCACAAATGCAAACCTCTTTTTGCAAGAATCTTATGTGCTTGCACTTACAGCTACAAAGGCAACAGTTCTAGCTCTGTGTAGCACACTACACACTTGCATTATCAAACAAATAAAAAATAATGTATAATGGTTTTATTATGTATCAAACAAAGTACATAGAGTATATATATAATTTATTCTCTGAATTTTATTGTGCAAGCAATGTTTGTGCTTCACAAAATTCTTGAACACTTGCCACATGCTACCTTACTAACTCTTGCTCTGTAAAAATGGCCTATCTATGCGCAGGAAGTCATGGTTCTACAAACTCTACGATTACCTGATGTATCACAGCATGCGTACATCTAAATACTAGCAGGCATCACTCTAGGCACGGAACTAGAACACGCAGAGCTACACAACTGTGGCGGCACCCAGTGTTTGCATAATGTACAGTAACCAAGTTTTCCCAGCTAACTGAAGATCCATCTATGTAGAACCAAAATCCAGTTTCTTCAGTGTTTGTATTCATTTACAAAACACCGAATTTAAATTGTAACTTTCTTCTACATATGAGGCAATCCATGTCAGCCACATGTACTTGGCTCTAGTTTAAGAATTTGTGGTACACCCCCTAGCATTTTGGACATGGGTTTTGGCACATGAATTTGAGCTATCCCTAACTCACAGCCAGAGTGACTAGGACATACGGGACCAGTGCTCTTGGCGTGGAGAGATGGCAAAGCCGTCTTCATGCTCACTCTTTCCCTAACCAATACATCTATGGCACCAAAAATGAGGTTATTTACACTAATAGCACATTTACAATTCAGTATTGCTATGTTATTTATAATCTAAAAGGCAAGGCTTCAGAGAAGTTTTTTTATTTTGAAAGTAGCTCAGGTAATGTAGGTCAAATCTTACACATTATTTCTAGCATCATTCATCAGCCTCAAGGAAAGTAAATATTGTTTAAAATTTGATTACTTGTTATACATTAACTTGACAAAACTATTCCTTAAACAAGAATATAATAGAAGGGCCAGTCCTGAAACTAAAAATTATGAACAAAAATTGTAAACTATACAAATTAAAAACTATAAAGAAGATATGACAGGTTGACAGGGCTGTAATTTCAAGAACTTCACATTAAAGAAACTCAAAAAGCTACAGGACCCGACACAAACACATTATGGGGTATAACACTAAACTTTTTACAATTTTGGCATTGCACAAGGCCCAGGTACTTCAACAGCCCTAAATTGCATGAAGACTTGGATACTAGATATGCATCCAGAAATAACATGAAACAAATAACCCCTATGAAACCAGGATTTAATAATTGTTTTTAAATGACAACTCTGCACACTGAATAAATTTGTTCACCTAGAATGACCTTGTGAGTTGTGAATGATTTTGTACTCCCTTGAATAACCTGAGCACAACTTCACTCTTTACTCCATAAATAATGTGAGCACTGGGTGTAACTCTGCACCACTTAGAATGACCTCTTATGGAGGACACTTAATTTCAGCACCTCTTTGAAGAAACCTTGGCTGTGCACAAAGTAATTAGGTACTCTCCAGAAAAAGGCCTATTTTTTTCTGAACACATCTGACTTTGGTCCAACTGGCAGGAGCTCACAGCAGAAGACTTATCTGATCCAATTTTACCATCAGTGGGTTAACTAGATACAGATGTAAAATAAACGGGAAGAACTGTTCACATACTAAAAAAATGCACAACCATGAACTCTACTCACTCTGCAAAAAGCTATTAAGCACTTACATTACTTATTGCATGTTGCTTTGCTGGCACTGTGATTCAATTAATACATGTCTGGTGTCCACTTCATATTTTCACTTACACTATGCTGGCTATGAAACCTAAAATCATGCATGAGCTTTACCATGCAGATCTAGGATGAGTATGCCTGTTATAGATGCAAGTCTACAAACGATAAACTGACGGCAAGTAAAGGGTTACTCTTAAGTGTCTGTCTTAAATAGTTTCATTTTAGTTTATATTTGGCACATGAACCTTTTCCACACTTCCATTTTATAAACACTCTTCACTCAATATAATTTTTATCTAGCTCACTATCACCTATTACCAGCTTAGATCAGACCCAACTGTTCCCGAGGTATGAGACGACCCATTCTGTGCTATTATCTGGCCTGGTTATGAGGATTGTGTCTTGGTGGGTGTGTGAGGGGCACCAGGATGACCACCTGGACTGGTGTCTAGATCAGATGGAGGACCTGAGCCGCTCGAGGCTGCTGCTTGTCCCCCAGCCGATGCACTTGCATCTCCCGTATGAACAACTGTGGTAAAATACCGCTCTGCAAAAATGAGTGCACAAAGTTAATCATGTTTTTACAAAATTAATGACAGTAATAATTCAGGAATGGGCTCATAAAAAGTTTTCTGAAATAGAGACATGGTTTTGCAGTGTATGAATTATATTTTGTTTCTATGGGAATTATATTGCCCCCCATTACTTTAGTCCTAATAAAATAAAGCTTAATTCAAATTCAAGTTTAAATTTAAATGCTTCACTCAGAGCGTTGTACATGTCTAGAAATATGACATGTTTCTGCTAAATATGAAGAACAAGGAGGTAAAGAGAGAGTGGATACTGGGAAGGGAGAAAGGAAGGGGGTGCAGTTGATGGGATGTAATAGTAGCACTGTTTATATCGCAGTGATGCAGAGCTGGTTCACATAGTTTGAGATGCTAAAATGGGAACTTAAATTTACCTGAGGGCCACTATCTCTTTAGTGGCCTCGATGAGGACAGGAAGCTTGGAGACTTGTTAAAGGTCCCTCCATCTCCACTATCTCACTATCTCGATGAGGACAGGAAGCTTGGAGACTTGTTAAAGGTCCCTCCATCTCCACTATCTCACTATCTCGATGAGGACAGGAAGCTCGGAGACTTGTTAAAGGTCCCTCCATCTCCACTATCTCACTATCTCGATGAGGACAGGAAGCTTGGAGACTTGTTAAAGGTCCCTCCATCTCCACTATCTCACTATCTCGATGAGGACAGGAAGCTTGGAGACTTGTTAAAGGTCCCTCCATCTCCACTATCTCACTATCTCGATGAGGACAGGAAGCTTGGAGACTTGTTAAAGGTCCCTCCATCTCCACTATCTCACTATCTCGATGAGGACAGGAAGCTTGGAGACTTGTTAAAGGTCCCTCCATTTGTCCTGATAATTTTATCAAGCTGGATTTTGAAATTTAGCAGCGAGTTGTCATTTACGGCTTCAGCTGGGTAAACGATTCCATGGGTGTCTATGATGAAAAAGCATCGAATGCCGAGCAGTAGATGCTCGGATTCATCAACCTTACGATGAAAAAGCCTCTCCTCTTTTCTGTCTTACATAGTGGCTTGTTGAGCTTGAAACTATTGTTACTTGTTTGTGTTATATCTGACCTTTTAAAAATGTTTTCTGGTACAATATCCTCTAAATTGTTTAGTATTTTAAAAGTATCAATGATATCAGCCCTGTCATGCCTGGTTTACAGTGGAATGATTTTTCATTTTCATTGGAATTTTTTTTCATGGTTGATCTCAACCATACTCAGTAAGTTGACTTAGTTCTGGAATGATTTTTATCACCTGGTAGTGAACCTTCTCCAAAGCAGATGTGTTTTTCTGAAAATGAAGTCTCCATGCTTGGATGTAATAATCCAAGTGGGGTGCACAAGAGATTTATATAGTTGAATACTACCTTCTTTTCCTTTTGAAGTCTAAGGTTCGTTTGACTTCATTGGATTTGTTTGGGCTTTGTTTTTAATGCAGCTTCCACTTGTGCAACATTCAGTGATTGGTGGATTCTGACTCCAAGGTTCTTTTCTTCCTCAATCTACCACATGGTAATGCTGTTAATTTGGTAATTGTGATGTGCATTGCTATGCCCTGCATGCATTATCCTGCATTTTTTATATTAACAAGCATTTGCCAGTCTTCTGACCATTTGTGGAGTTCATGTACATCTCTTTGTAAGGCCTCAATATCATTTTCACTTCCAACTTTCCTATAAATTTTAAGTCATCTGTAGATTTGATGGTGTAGTTTGTAATACTGTATTCCTGTCTTTGTCGTTAATGTATATGATGAAAACAGTTGGCCCCAAAATGAACCCCTGTGGTACCCCACTTGCCACATTTCTCCAGTTAGATTTATAGTTGTTTAGGACAACTGCTTTCTTTGTTTTAACCATTCTTTTATCCATTCTTGTATTCTACCTTTATGGCATATGCTTGTAATTTCCTTGCCAGTCTTTCATGTGGTATTTTATGAAAAGCTTTAGCAAAGTCCATGTATGCTACATCAACTCAAAGTCCCTTGTCTGAATAGCTGGTTATTTAATTTTCTTCACCTGCTTCAAACATTTGTAATTACCTAAGTGTAATTACCTAAATGTAGTTACAGGATGAGAGCTATGCTAGTGGTGTCCCGTCTTACCAGTACTCTTTGTCATATATCGCTTTGAAATTACTGACTGTTTTGGCCTCTCACTTAGCTTGTTCAGTCCGTCTACCACTCTGCAAAAGAAAACTTCCTAATATTTTTGTGGTATCTTTGTTTTGGGTAATGGGATGCCTAATCCCTTTAGTGTGAATACTGATGTATTTATTCAGTGGTGGCTGCCCTTTTATTGACTAACTTTGTTGATCTAATCTTTTAAGGATCCTACCATCATTTGTTTCGGGTTTACTTTTTTATATTGGCATGGAAAAACTTTGTATCTTTCTTTATGTTTTGGGCAAGCTTTATTTAATTTTTTTTTGTTGATCTGATTTTCTGTGGCTGAATTTATTGCACTTCTATACATATCATAATCTATGTTCCTTGTAGATTTATACTTCTCTAGAGGTTCCACTTTGGTATTAGAGCTCTTCCGTGGGGAGCCCCTACAGCTTCCTGGAGCTATTGGGCTAATATGCAATTCATTAGACCAGGGCATTAGTCAAAGGAGTTTGGCTTACCGGGATCATGAGCCACAGAACCTGGCCCCCCTCAGAGAGGCACAGGGAGCAATGGCCCTGGAAAATCCTCCTGTGGTTGGGGGTTTTCCTTATATGCTATCGACCAGAGTTAGGCACCCAGAAAGGTAGACATGACAAGAAAATTGGAACTGAAAACTGAACAGAGAGGCAGAACTCCCTCCAATTCCAAAGAAAGAAGCAAATGTCACACCACGCTGCTGCAATGCTCTTCCGAGCAGCCCCCATCCCCCTGGTGGGGAAGGGGGGAGCCCCTGGACCCACCACACCGGCTACCCAACCTCAATTCATTGGCTAATGCAATCCAGGGTTGTTGTCAAAACTGGCTTCGGTTTCTTGGCAGTGTTTATACCTTCATGGTGTACTCTGCTATTCATGGTGTGGTGGCCAGGTGTACCTGAAGTGTACTGGGGCTGCATGTGCTTAGGGCAGCCTTCCCCAAGTGCCCTGTGAGTACTACCATAGCGTGTCAAGGTTATCTTCCCTGGTGCGTTCGGAATGCCATTTCCATAGAGGTTTTTGCTGCTCGGTATTTACTCTGCCCTTGGGGCCAGCTGGGGTTTCATGGCCCTTGTTTGGCCTTGGGCTAGGAAGTGGTATTGTCAAGGTTGTTGTGCAGCCAGCTTACCTATGCAGCAGATGGTTCCTGTTTCCTCTGGGGACGCGGGGTTTTTCAGGGTTTTTCTTTTACATTTTTTTTTATTTGCCTGGTGGGGATCTGCCTGGTGTGGTTTAGGATCCCTTCTGATATTTTGGTGGCCCTCCGCTAGGCCCCAGTGATTGTACACGTCGTAGGGGTTTCAGTGTTTTGATTTTCCCCTTGTTAGCTTTGGGTCTAATCGGTTAGCAACACCTTGCCCGGGGTTCCCGTAGCAGTCCGTCTACGGGCCCTGGAAAACCCTATCGGGGCTTGGTGGACGCTTGGAAGACGGATGCGTTTTCAAGAGTTCCAGCTCGCCTCGTGTGAGTTTGAAAGTTGCTGTGTGCTCTTGTCTCATGGTGGCAGTCACCACTTTTGCCTCTGTAATGCTGCCTGTTGGGTCAACGACACCTTTGACTTGGAGTCTGGCGAGTCGTCTTCAGAGTCGGGGTGGGGTTTAGTTGGTAATGAGACTGGGGCTGCTTCAGGGGCTGCCCCATCTGGATTGGGGATGGAGGCATTCAAGCCTGCTCCCTTTGCCGAGGCTTCTGGGTCCTGCCAGCAGCCCACCTTTGCTACCTTTCCCCTGGACTCTGCCTTTTCTTCAGGGGTAGAGGGTATGGAGGACTGCTCTGCCCCAGGGCCTCTGTTCGGGGTTCCTGGGGCTGTGGGGGAAGCCTGCTTGCGGTTCTGGGGCTGTTAGCCCCTGCTTGGGCTTTGTGCCTTCTGGGCATATTTTTTTTTTTTTTTTTTTTTGTCCCTCCCATCTTCTTTGTATTCCCCCATTTGCTGGTGTGATTTCGGCTCCCTTGCATTGGTTGCATCTCCTTTTGTTGTGGTGGCCATTTTCTTTTCTGTGGGCGCTTCCCTGCCTGGCCGCCAGGGTAGCACTGCGGTTTGTTTGCTTACATGTTCCTGGGAGTGTGCGCTCGGATTTTGGGGGTGTTTTTTCTCCTCTCGTTGCTGTGTCTCTGTTTTGTTCTTTCTTTTGGGGCATTTTGCCGTTTCTGTTCCTCTGAGAACATTTGGGTGTTGGGTTTTTTGCCCAATTTTGTTATTTTCTGTCTGTGTTTGGGTTCTGCGCCCTGGTTTTTGGGGCCCAGTGTCCGTGCCTGTTTGCTTTGCTTGCTCCCACGGTTTTTGACCCTCAGTTTTTGGTCTGTTTCTGGCTGTTTTGGCCAGGGGTTCTGTTTGGGTCTTGTGTTTGGCCCTTCCTTCTGTGGTGCATTTCTGCCAGAAAATGTGGTGGTTTGGGCTCCTCTGGGTTCATTTTTCTTCCTCTTGGGTTTCCCTTTGGAGGTTCGGGTGGCCCTTGGTGGTTATCTCCTGTGTACCCCCGGACTGGTCTCTTCCGGAGTTCTGGGGTCTTCCTGGCTTGCAGACTGCACTTCTTGTGTTTTGGCTTCTGCTTGTTGAGGTGGGCTCTAGTGCAGCTTTTGTGCCTGTCAAAGACGAAGCAGTGTGACGAAGCAGAACAGACGAAGACAGCTCCAGTGTCTTTGTCTGTTCAGCGTGGTGCTCGTTCTGCTCACAAGTTGGCTTCTTAATTTCATTTTTTTTTTCTGTGGGGAGCCCCTTCGGCTCCCTAGAGCTATTGGGCTAATATGCAAATCATTAGACCAGGGCATTAGACTATAGAGTTCAGCCTACCGGGGACCACGAGCCAGAACCTGGCCCCCTCAGA